ATCATCATCATCATCATTATCATCATCATCATCATAACTCTTTGCGCCAGTAGGCGCATAAGGCCTTCACCCCCTCTTTCTATCCATCTCTATCCATTGCTGCCATTTTGGCTTCAGGGATATGTGTAGGTGGAAATTCAAAGGCAGATAGGGGGAGGAAGGAGAGAAGGGGGGAGGAGGGATTCTGGACTTTCCATTTCTTGCCAGTGGCAGAGAAAGTCTTTGAAATGTGGTACTTAATTTGCCAATTCAATAGATTAGCACATTTTGAAGACAAACACAAATTGCATTTTAATTTCATGACCATTACTTTGCCAAACACATGCATAAAAATAGAGTTATCCTTCTCAATTTCTGGTTGTTAAGTTACTGGTTATACTTGAATACTTACATCATCCTTAGTGAAGTATATTCTAGTCTCTGTAGCTAAAATCCAGTACAATAACAAAATGACGCCAGGACACGATACTAACGGCCATTCTACATTTTGTTTYACATGGAGAATTTGAGGAAGGTCACATTTGGTATAAACAATAGCAACCAATCCCAGTAATCTACAGAATGGACAAAATAATATTAAACAATGGATTTATCAACAGAAAACAGCACAAACAGCAACTTGAGTTAGAAACTACAGCTATCATCAACTATAGCAAAAACAGAATAGCAATAATAATAGAGATAACAACAGCAGCAGCAGCAGTAACAACAGCAATAAAAGAAACAACAACAACAGCAACTTCCTGTAAGTGTTGTTTTTTTCCTGTTGTTGTTGTTGTCAGTATACATCTATTGACATAGAAATAACAAATATAAACAATAACAGCAAACAATAATATAAACAACAATACTGAAAATAAATTAAAGTAACAGCAAGTAACAAATTAAGCAATTAACAATAAAAAACACCACAACACCACAACATCACAACAACACAATTATTGATGATGACAACAACAGAAACAACAGTACCTGCTTATTAAGTGATCAGGAGGCAAAAACGTCTGAAAAAACTGRAACTGGTAAAGATATAAAGCCAAGAAGTGCAGACCTGAATAYACCATCAAAACCAGCCGAACACATGCAAAAGCCTTCCTGTGTCGTAACCGTACAGCTTTATGACAGGCCCATATTGTTCCTAATCCAAGAAATATTATAAAATAAGTCACTGAGATCACAGATGGCTGAATTATTCCCGCCACAAGTAGCATTATGGCTGTGAAATATGGCATAACATTGTCCACAGTTGTAGGTTGATCTGTGTATATTCTTTGAGGAGTTGAAGGTCGAGATGCAGGTGCTTCAGCCAATTTCTTACTGCATAAGACACAAGTTAATGATATTATAAAAACCACCACRTCAGGAATAATATAACGGACTACTGTGTAATACGGTACTTTGTCAAATCTGTGAAAAGAATGGAATTAACATTGGTAAATATTAAGCAGAAAAGTAATCTCTTTCAGTAAATTCAGTAACTTATGGTTAGTTAAGTGTTTAGCTGGATAAACTTTACCTGTTTAAACCAATTTCTCGCACAAGTTGCTCATACAATGAACCTAAAAAAGATAGTAAAAACCATTCTTTTATGAGTGAATTAATTTTCAATATTATGGGACAAATCTACCTAGTAGATGGTTAAATGGTAATTTTTCAGTAAAAACAACCCATTGGTCACCAAAAAGGGAAACACTATCTTTAATTATAATTGAGCTACATGTACAATGTACTATAAGTTCTGACTAACTGTGAACCTATATAAGCTTAATTATGTCCCTGTGCACCTACAGAAAACCAGMTTCAGCTTGTAACAATCTCTCTCAGCCCTATTCAACAGCTCTGAATGAGTTTTCTAAGGATTCCCCATAACGTTTTATGTACCAAAACAACAGATTTTGAACAACTTCAGATTATATATAATTTTTATGYAAATAACAGGAAACTCACATTTAGGAAAAGAGTGTCCATAAGGTGGCACAGCTGCCAAGACTATTTGAAAKGTTATTTGAGCTACTAGTGCWATGACAGACAACCCAAGTGTTGCCTTTTGAAGATTCCCAGTGTGAYTACAAGCTGAAATTTATAAAAAWTWWCAAAMATTTCTTTTTAAGTAACCATATACAAAAACAACATTAAAAACAACTGTTACAATTAAATAACACAAGGTTAGAACATGTCTCTGRGAATTGAACACATGACTCTCAAGATACTAATAATTGCAGAATAAAATTTTATGATTCAATAAAGTCTAAAATGTGTAAGAATAATAAATTATATACTTACAATTAAAATTATTTCTTGATGGATTGGGTAAAAGTGGGATAATAAGAAGACAGCACAGATATATAAATGATATTCCATTGATACGCAGACATGATGCTGTAGTTAGAAAAAATTAATGCCATTAGAAATATGTTCTATCATCCTGATACATTACTCGAAGAAAATAGTGAGCTGAACAATATTAATGAAGTTGTGAAAATAAGATGAATTTTACACTGTAAAAAGGATGGGAAATAACTTACTGATGTTTATAAATTATAATTGGTTTATAAAGTTGAGAGATATACCATACAAAAAACCTCAACTCGTCCCAAAACCTACGCAAATTTTTTCCAGAGGTAAGGTAAATAACACTCTGTTTGCAGGGTACCCACAACCTTGTTGTGTTAAAAAATCGGTTGTCATACTACTGGGCTGGGTTGTTCAAAGCCCAATTAAATTTGGTCCAGGGTTAACTCCATAAGAGTTAACCCTGGATTAGCACTAATCGGGCTTTGAACAACCCGGCCCAGAACTACAACCAGCAAGCATTAAAAGCAATGCAATTTGTACAAATTTCTTTTCAAACAGAGTACCAAGCATGCAAAGCTGTCAAAGGCAACATTCAACATGAAGCAWTAAGACATAACATTGACGTTCAACAGACATCAAGTATTGGCAACTGCACAATTCCTTCCTAATTACCATGAACAAATACCAGTCATTGTAGACTCTACTTGTAGCAATATAGAAATACTAATTTTAATTGAATAGATAAACTAATTTTATTTTTATTGGGACTGCATAGTGTTAATCAAATTTTTTGGTTTATGATAACAAATTAATGGTTGAGGATAAAAATTTCATAGATTATAATACAGTTTTTAAAATAAAGAAGTGGAATTAAACTATTCTGATAATAGCATTCCAGAAATAAAGATGAAATTACAAAATACAAAAAAAAAGTTGTCACTGTCAGAGTTMTAGTCAGAACAGTCAAAATATGTAAACAAACTGAGMGACATCAAGTGCTTGGATGTCAATTTTACACTTAAAGACTTAAAGCCTGGGAAAAAATTTGTAAAATATGTACTATTTGAAAAGATGGAAAAAACACTGGGTTTCAAAGCSGAAAGCAAAAGGGAAAGAAAAAAATTCTTGATTACGTCAATACATATTCGGTTACAGGTAGTTAGGGATCTATTTTAGGAATATTGAAGATCAAATTCAAATGTTCTWGGGGAAGAGTATTAAATCATTGTTYAAATAGTGTAAAAACATTGTCTAATGAAACCTTAGTAGACAAAAGAARGCAAAAGAATAGCTTTGACAACGAAACTGATCAATGTCTTTGACGATACGATCTCGCCTCAATAAAGTCGGCGTTCCCTCCATTTGCAAAATCTAACTGGAAACGCAAACGTTATTGTCAGTTGTAAAAATAATTGGACTAATGACTATCTTAAGCGCATTTATTTAAAGCCCTCAAAAAAATATTATCAAGCTTTTGTGTTAATATTGCAAAATTAAGTAGAAGTTTACGTAAAGCTTACTTAACATTACTCACCTCCTAACAGAAGCAAAGGCAGCATCCATCGAAATAGAAAAGCACACACCAAAACAGAAGCCATATCACAAAATAATATCTAATGTTTATCAAACTGTACAAAATATATAAATTGCTAGTTGAGTTTAAGGTCCAGGTAGTGTGTAACATTGATTTCTCATCTTCATTATTGCATTTAAGTTAATAAGATGTTGCAGTCCAGAAAAGCAAATCTTTGAATAACAACGGTGYCAGAGTGAATAATGAATACCCAGGCTTTCAATAGAGTAATTCCAAGCCAAAGCTTTCCAAATAACTTGTTTTAAATGAATATTTTCATGTCACGTTTCACTTTTCTAAACACGACCTTCGAACTTGCACTTAACTTTCTGAGCCCGCGAGYTGATTCCGAATCCCAGGAAACCAAGCTGTTCTTTTGGAATGTTACCAAAAACACTGTTTTATCGCCTCTTTTGTTAAACACAGCTCACCTAAATCAAATACAGGCGATATAGCTCTATAAAAGTTGTTTGTTTTTAGTATAAACATATCTATTCGAGTATTAAAAATTCGACAAGATTTCGGAAATTCGTCGTGAAAAGTACGGAGATAAATCGACTAAGCCCGTCCCAGTACTCGAAACGTCGCGCGGATAACAAAATGGCGGGCATGTGAAGAGTTTTTCAGAATTTTAAGTTTTGTACATTTTCAGGCATTCACTTCCAGTTGAATTATTTTAAAACTTCTTCAGCAATGTTTGTAGCTCGCGAGATATCAGCAGAACATAAGGATTTGATCCACGATGTCTCATACGACTACCACGGCCGAAGAATGGCAACGTGCTCCAGTGATCAAAGTGTCAAAGTTTGGGATTTGAGTGAAGATGGCGAATGGAAATGCACAGCAAACTGGAAGGTTAGCTTAATAACAAGTRGTACATACCTYAAGCACCCTARAATTTGAAACWTAATTCAAAAAGTATCTTATTTTGTGCAAATCAATGGTGACTATCGAACCTTCGTCATTAGACACATTCCGGTTCAGTCTGGAAAGTAACGTGGGCTCACCCCGAGTTCGGCCAGGTGCTGGCATCTTGTTCTTTTGATAGAACTGTAGCAATATGGGAGGAGCAAGGTAGGCATTGCTGATTTGAAGGATGCTTGAATGATGACAATTATGATGATGATTAATGTGTTATCTTGATGATGATTAAAGTCATCATAGTARTTTTAATGTTTGAATGATTTCGATGATGATTGAATTTTAAAATAATTGTGATTTTGATAATATCAATGAAAATTGGTATGATGATGTAACTAAGAGTGGAAATTCTGTGGCGTTGATGATGGTGATGACAGCAATATTAATTAGGACAGTGGTGATATAGATAACATCGTTTTGTTTCAGTCGTAGGGTCTGGGGATGTGATGTCTCATGGTCAAAGCCATTGGGTATGCTGTTTAGATTTATAGATAAAATACAGTAAAAAGTTTCTTAAAGTGCTACTTGCATGAATATGCCCTCATCTCAAAACTTCAAGCAATAGAATTATATGACTCATTTATATCTATTAAAAACAATTGCATGAAAAAAATTGTTTTGGAAGAATACCAGTGCAGTATGGTATTTATTTTTTTACGAAATTCTATGAAATCAATTTAATGGCCAAAAAGAAAATGTTTTTTTTCTTCAGATGAATGAAAGTGATCTTTGTTTTGATGTAGCTGAGGTTGTAGGTGATTTAATAGGAAGAGGATACACAACCTTTTATGTTATCAATATTGTTTTTCAGGTGAAAAGAGCATCACTTGTTGATAGTCGTACTTCTGTAACAGATGTAAAATTTGCACCTCATCATCTTGGACTACAGCTGGTAAGCATGAAATGAAGGAACATTCTTCCTCTGGTATCTTCTTGGTTGACTCACAGTCTCCCTTGGCTATATCAAGGAAGACAGGAAGCCTAAAATTAAGAAGAATAGGAGGCCAACTAGTAGCTAGTATAGGAAAATTTCCATTTGTCTATGAAAGACTTGTCTCCTTCACAGCCTACCCTTTTTGTCATGGGACAGGAAGCCCAACAAAAGAGTAGCCTGTGAAGGAGACTAGTGAAAGACTGACTACTTATTATTAATGTATTATTATTTGTCAATTATTCTGATAGGCCACGTGTTCAAAAGATGGCACAGTTAGAATCTATGAAGCTCATGATATCATGAACCTTGGACAATGGAGTCTTCAGGTAGGGAGGGGAAGGGGGAGCATTTTGTCTGATTCTTAAAAAAATATTTGTTGATATTTGGTTTTCTTTCAATCCAGCATGAAATTGCATGCAAGTTAAGCTGTAGTTGTGTATCTTGGAATCCATCAAGGTATAATTGACAGTATGTAGCGACGCCATTTTGTGCAACAAAGCATGARTGGAGTTGTAGTTGTCATTTCTGCAAAGRAAATATAAAGGTGGCTGTCCAATAGGGAGGTTTTTATGTACTATTATAAGTGGAAGGACTACAACAATCTTACTTTGTACAAAATGGTAGCTTCAAAAACGTTTTACATTGTAATGTTCAATTATATGTAGAATTTTAGAGAAATATTGAATGATCATTTTACAAATCTATACAAACAGAATACATGCACCTATGTTGGCTGTTGGCAGTGATGATACAAATCCGAGTGCTGGAGGAAAAGTCCAGATTCATGAATATTATGATGATAGCAGGTAGATCTATATATCTATATYATAAACTTGCCTTAGTTTGTCATAGCTTGTTTATGTGTACATAAATTCYAATCCCTCCSCTCCCTTGTTGGAAAAATTTCCTAYCATAATAATAGATGTKCTCRAGCTGAGTTTGACATCAGTTCCCATCCCTCCCTTCCCTTGATGGAAAAATTCCTTACCAACATTAGATGTACACATCAGAAGGAAAATACATCATGGTGCCTTCCCCTAACCTGCCATTACAATATGAATGATTTTTAGTGTATTTTCTTCTCAGAAAGTGGCAGAGAGTTGAGACACTCATGGCAATTAGTGATGCAGTCCATGATGTTGCCTTTGCTCCCAATCTAGGAAGGTGYGTTRAAAGAAAACCATTGGAAATGTCAGTTTTGAAAGTTCACAATGATTGTATTAATGTATCGTATTATTAAAAAAATACTTGAATGAGAAGGCAAATAATAGGCGATATGCATTATGGAKTCATTTACTACAGCTACCAGAATGCTTTGCCAACTTTCTTTTATAATGCAATTAGTGCCAATTGTTTTATTAATCTCCAAGGGGATTGAAAATCTGAATAACAATGAAAATGCGCAAGGCTCTCTGGTAGGTGAAGTAAAGTTACGTCATAATGCAAACGGCCTATTGAGGATAATATTTGACTTGAGAACATACAGCAYTGGTGCTGTCAGAGTTGAATTTCCAGTGAATTTTTTTGTTTTTGACTGCAAATGATTGCTTAGACTAGCTTGTCATATTTACTGGGCTGTATTTACACAAATTGTTCTGGCAATGGATCTATTTCATGGATGACTTTTCAATATCTCCTTTTTTATGCATGTACATAAAAACATTTCAGGTCCTATCACCTGCTAGCCATTGCATCTAAAGATGTAAGAATAATGAAACTCAAGCCATACAGGTAATGTACTAACTATCAACAGGAAATACAGTTGATCAAATCTCCACTTGTAGACACTCTTGTAAACAGACTGCTCTAGTTGCAGACAACTTTCTGAAATTCCACTTGCTGGAGATTCAACTGTAGTCTAAATCTCAAAGATTCATTTCCTAAATATTGTTTTTGGCTATTTATTCTTCTCATTTCATTTTGTTTGTGTACATGTATTTTTTTCAGCACTGGTCAAAATACAGCCTCACTGAGTGGTGGATTTGCTAAACTAGATATAAGTCTTGTAACTCAATTTAGTGATCATGAGTCACAGGTAGAGTGTTTCACTCCTTTTTTACTTTCATTCATTTTTTAAATGTTTTTTTTTTTCATTTTCTCATTGCAGGTTTGGAGAGTTCAGTGGAACATCACTGGAACCATTCTAGCATCATCTGGTGATGATGGCTGTGTTAGATTGTGGAAAGGTATTCATGTATTATTTTGGTTTTCAATGGATGTATTCCTTCATAGAGTTATTGAATGATTTATATATATTCTTCATTTCTTCACAAAAAGGTTTACTTAACTCATCCATCAATCCATTCCTTTTATTTATTCAGTAATATAGCTTTCTTGCTCATACATTAATTTAGTCATTATCCATTCATTTTCCCATTTATTTTCCCATTTTGTTCCCATTTTGTTCCCATCTTTTCATTCATTCATTTAGGTATAAGCCAAATCATTGATCATCCCATTCATCCATTCCATTTCTTTATCCATTCAATTAATTCATTCATTTCATCTCTCTACCCAGCAAACTATTTGGACAACTGGAGGTGTCTATCAGTATTAAAAGGAGATGGAAGTCAAGGACCAGTGCCGCCACTAAGCAATAATCAACAGGACAACCAGACCAACACCATTAGCCCTAGAAACATCTTTAAGTCAGCAACTCAACCGACTTGGTACGCCCAATAAAGCCTGCAGCTGTTTAGAACCAGAACATATTTCTAATTTWGTGAAACTTGCAATATATAGGAGGTTTGTTGTATATAATGTGCCAAAGAATTGGAGAATTTTTTGGTATATGTATATGTCATCTGAGAAAAAAATACAGAAAGATAAAAAACTTAAAAAGCTGTTTAGGTAATTTTCACTAGCAAATAAAACAGACACATAAAAGGAGAAAGATSTAGGCCACTGAAGCATGGATAAGGAAGTGGTGAAAGAGTTAAGGAGATTTTTAAAATGAAAAACTTCTGTTCTTTTTCCGTCCATGATAACATGTGCAAAATATGGTAGTTCAACAAGCTGAAGTATTGCACATGTAGATGTACTGATAGCAAAGAGATCTTTCTCCTCCAATGGCACAGAACTTTGATTGAAGATCTGTTACATGCAATTTTAGCTAGTTTGTTCTCTTTATTTTTCATACCAGATCTTTCTCATACATAATATCATAATATTGTATAAAAAATAAAGAACTATGATCAGTATATGTTTGTATATATATTAGATGGCTGTACGTTGAGTCATTTTGCATGACATAATCATGTTATCCTGTCTACAATCTGYTGCAAAATAAATGGAACATCCTTTAACACCCTTTATACTCACCACAAGGTTGCACGCACATTCCTTTCCTCATCCTTTCTAATTTTGTAGCAGTTCATTGACAAACAGCATTGCAAAAAGGGAGGGGAGGCTGTAGTAACAATCACAATGAGTGTTTCACACAATTTTGCAAAAGATTGTTAGGAATTTGTTTCAGACAGTTATTTTTTTCTATATAGTACAGTAAATGTCTTAGCACTCTCGCTGCGCTCGTGTTCCTTAGCTTGCTTCTCTAGTGTTTTTCAAACTCCCATCGTGTTTATATGAGAGGACAGAGACACGCACGCTGTTTTATATTTCTTAGTATGAATGTAGTCGTGAGAAGTTTTTGTAATTCTTGYTTATACACAAACACATTCCATCATAATCAAATTGATTTACAGGATTCTTTACAATAAAATTATTATTTTGACAATTCCCTTTTCAACCGTCCTTCTCTGGCAATTCTATCRTGGTCAACTGAATAAMMTGCCATCACCAAACGCAGCAAGCCCATCACTAAAGACTAGAAAAAAAGAAAGGAAGAAAAACAAATAGAATGCCATTAGTAATACTCCATGCTCTTGGGTTTCCTGTGTATGAAATATAGCGAGGACCGGGGGTGATATCTCTCAATAAAGGTAATAAATCCATTAACACAAGAAGATGAGAACAACCAAACCAAATAGTGCATAATACACATGTACAAGTTAAAACTAGGTAAAATTTCTTAATTTTGAGTGTGCAGCTCTAGAAAGTGTTTTTTCTCTTGAAGTTGAGGAACTTTCCCAATATTTCGTCTATTTTCATTTAAAAGGAACATGTTCCTATTTTTTGAAACAGTTCAGTGAATTTTGCCAAATTTTTCCAAGACTTTTTATTTTTAAAGGAGCACGTTCTAATTTTCCAAGGCAGTTCTTGGCAAATTGTGATGAATTTTCACAACTTTTTCAAGACTTTTTATGCTTATCCTCAAACTCATTGAAAATGCGTATGTTTGTTTTCAAAACATGACTTTGAKTGACAGCTCAAGACATCAAACTGGCTTTCAAGCAAGTTGCAGATAAAKAAATTTTTTTCGACTTGAAAACGAGCAATTCTCCCAACTATTTCATTTATTTTCGTTTTAAAGGAACACGTTCTAATTTTCCAAGGCAATTTTCCAAGGCAGTTCGCCGACCGGTTAGCTCAGTAGGTAGAGCATCGGACTTTAGTGCGGGAGGTCGCAGGTTCAAACCCCGGCCGGACCAAYAYKYAGGGTCTTAAAATAATTGAGGAGAAGTTGCTGCCTTTGTCTTTCTCCATCTGCAAATAGTAAGATCTTCTCGTCCTCTYGGATAACGACGTAAAATCGGASGTCCCGTCTCTCTACACTTCACTCACTAACTTGTATTAGAGGGACGTTAAAGAACCCACACCACTGTTCGCATAAGAGTAGGGAATGATTCCCGGTGTGTGTGGATAGACCTTACTGCTAACCCATACTAATTACTAACCCCTCATGATTGTAAGCCGCGTGGCTGCCAATTGCGCCTTAAACAGCGGTCCGTGTGAAATGATCTATACATGTGAAGCGCCTTTGAACTCAGAGGATTTCGGCGCTATATAAATACCACATATTATTATTATTATTCTGTGCGAATTCCGGTGAATTTTCACAACTTTTTTCAAGACTTTTTTATGCTTATCCTC